GTCAGAGACTGCAGACATACTACAGGAGATGGTCAGAGACTGCAGACATAGTACAGGAGAAGGTCAGAGACTGCAGACATACTACAGGAGATGGTCAGAGACTGCAGACATAGTACAGGAGATGGTCAGAGACTGCAGACATAGTACAGGGGTCAGAGACTGCAGACATTATACAGGAGATGGTCAGAGACTGCAGACACACTACAGGAGATGGTCAGAGACTGCAGACATGATACAGCAGATGGTCAGAGACTGCAGAAGTGCTACAGGAGAGAGTCAGAGACCGCAGACATACTACAGGAGATGGTCAGAGACTGCAGACATAGTGAAGTGTGGAAGAAATGCAGGAAGCCGTTGAATTACATGAAGCCAGTCAATAGAATATTTTTCCTCCATTGATCTGAGTAAACATCAAAATACAGATTGCTGTCTGCAGGGGCCACACAGAAAGCACATAAGGGCCGGATGCGGCCCCCTCACATTCCTCACCTGGTAGAATGAATGGAAGTTTCTCTCTCCCGGCTGCTGCTTGAGGACCCGAGACTGGAATGACAAGAGAGTTACGAGACGCTGGTCAGCCAGGACTACAACCACCAACACCAACACCAACACCAATGTGTGATGGGAGGAACCCAACCACCTACACCATGGGGGACACCAATGTGTGATGGGGGGACTCCAACCACCAACACCATGGGGGACACCAGTGTGTGATGGGGGGACTCCAACCACCAACACCATGGGGGACACCAATGTGTGATGGGGGGACTCCAACCACTGACACCATGGAGGACACCAATGTGTGATGGGGGGGACTACAACCACCAACATCATGGGGGACACCAATGTGTGATGGGGGGACTCCAACCTCTGACACCATGGGGGACACCAATGTGTGATGAGGGGACCCCAACCACTGACACCATGGAGGACACCAATGTGTGATGGGGGGGACTACAACCACCAACATCATGGGGGACACCAATGTGTGATGGGGGGACTCCAACCTCTGACACCATGGGGGACACCAATGTGTGATGAGGGGACTCCAACCACTGACACCATGGGGGACACCAATGTGTAATGGGGGACTCCCATCACCTACACCATGGGGGACACCAATGTGTGATGGTGGACTCCAACCACTGACACCATGGGGGACACCAATGTGTGATGGGGGGACTCCAACCACCAACACCATGGGGGACACCAATGTCTGATGAGGGGACTCCAACCACCTACACCATGGGGGACACCAATGTGTGATGGGAGGACTCCAACCACTGACACCATGGGGGACACCAATGTGTGATGGGGGGACTCCAACCACCAACACCATGGGGGACACCAATGTGTGATGGAAGGTAACTGATTCCTCCGCACAGTTTGGCTCACCTTTTCCAGCAGGTAGTTGTTGATGTGTCCTCCGGTCGGGTCCCCCTTGAAGTCGAAGTTTATGTCCATGTACTTGCCGAATCGACTGGAATTGTCGTTCCGGTTGGTTTTGGCATTTCCGAAAGCTTCAAGGACGCAGTTGGATTTCAGGAGAACGTTCTTCACCCTGGAGGAGGATGATTACATGATGAGGACTCTACCAAACAGGTTCTTCTACCTTGTCAAAGCTGGACTGGGGATGAGAGGAAGTGGTGGAAGTTCCCTAAGGAAAACAACTCCTGCGGGGGTTCAGCTTAAAGTGGACCTGTCACCTGAACCTTCCTCATCATGGACGAGGTAAGAGGATTGCGTTACTGTATGGAGACTAAGGTTCATATTATCAACTTTTACCCCCTGCCCCACCGATGGTCTTCCTGGGAAATAGGCAGAACCTCCGGGTCTAGGGGAAGAGAGACTCTCTCCCCCTAAACCGCCAAGCACCACTGCCCTTCTCGTGCCCCAGAGTCTCCATGACACCTGCACCCTGTCCGTGTGCCCCATGTCTCCAAGTGAGCCCCCATGTCTCTAAGTGCACCCATGTGTCCAAGTGTGCCCTATGTCTCCAAATGCAACCCTGTGTGCCCCCATGTCTCCAAGTCCACCCCTTTGTCTTCAAGTGTGCCCCCCATATCTCCAAGTGTGTCCCCATGTCTCCAAGTCCACCCCTATGTCTCCAAGTGTGCCCCCATATCTCCAAGTGTGCTGCCATGTCTCCAAAGGCAACCCTGTGTGCCCCCATGTCTCCAAGTCCACCCCTTTGTCTCCAAGTGTGCCCCCCATATCTCCAAGTGTGCTCCCATGTCTCCAAATGCACCCCTGTGTGCCCCCATGTCTCCAAATGCACCCCTGTATCTCCAAGTGATCCCCTGTGTACCCCTGTGTGTCCCAAAATCTCCAAGTGGGCGCTATGCACCCCTGTGTCTTCCTGCCGAGTGTGCCCCCATGTACCCATGTTTCCAAAAGCACCCCTCTGTGATGTCTACTCTACAGTTGTCAGGCCTGCTGGGCTACACTATCACTACCCTCCGCCTCCTCTACCTTCAGGTAACCTTCTGTATTGACCTGAGCTGTCCTGTTCTGAGGATACAGACCCCCACCCCTCCCCCCCGTCTGGGACACTTTAAAAAATACTTCGGACAGCAGTGACGTAAATCTGATAAAGATCTCAGGCTGGAGGTGTGAAAATTGCAAAATGAATATGAGGTCCATCAAATAGAGCATTGCTTGGAAGATGGTCAGCACCATCCTCTCCGGTGTGTCAAGCATTCGCATCAGCCACAGGCACTCGTGCCCATCTCTGTCTGTACAACTGCTGTCTCATCTCCAGTGGGGCTCAGAAAGTAGCAGCAAGGGGAGGCCTTCCTCATCACTTCAGGCTCACACCAAGGTAGGTGACAGAAGGTCCCTCCTTCCACTAGAAGAGGACATTAGTCCCCTCGGAAATACTGATGGCCAAGTTATCCTTATCCAAGGTAGATGGCCAAGTGCCCTGATATCTCTACCATCCTGCTTCTCGGGACGCCATGCAAAGGGCCACTCCGCCAAAACCAATTTCAGTTTTTGGTTAATGCTGGAAAGTTAAACCCCCCTGACCAGGGCCGTAACTACAGATCACGGGGCTCCATTGCAAAAATGTAAATGGGGGGTCCCTGATGACCTCCAAATGAGCTCCTCTTGTGCACCCAAAGTCTTCTCTACACTGTAGACTCTACATAGGGTTAGAATTGTCTTCAACTGCAACCACCCCAACTCTTAATGATACAGTACTGCATTATCTTCACATGTTCTGTTTAATTTGCATCAACAACCTAATGGGGCCCCTTCCACCGCCAGGCCCCACAGCAGCTGCATGGGCTGCTTAGACTATAGTTACGCCAATGCCCCTGACAGCCTCTTCTATCTTTTGGGAGTCCAATAGTGAGAACTTTGAGTTCCCGGTGCCGTACACCTGTTACGCCCATTATCAGCGGCTCCAACCATGCCACTGGATTTTTATTTTCTTTATAATATGGAAAATGTAACAGGAGGAGCTGAAATACACAGATATCTGTACAAATTAAGTCAAGGCAACTGGACTTGCTGTATTTTTCTTGAGGACGTTTTTCAATGGTCATCCGACCAGCTTTCTCAATTCACAATGACTTGTACAACCTGGTTACGGCTAACAGATTATGTGGAATGGAGCAACATTCACCATATTTATTCCCAGATAATTTTTGTACAAGTCATTGTGAATTGAGAAAGCCGGTCGGATGACCAGTGAAACGTCTTCATTTGCCAGTTGCCTTGACTTCATTTTTACAGATATACCATGTGACCTTCACTGAAATACACAAAGGTGGGTGGGAAAACCCCAAAGCCCTGGAATCATGGAATGGTGATATATCTCTTGGAGTATCCCAGACAGGTGCTGACTCAGACTGACCGTTTAGGTGCCAAAGAAGTCACCTCCTATCCAATCAGCCTTCCACCAAGGTATTCTATTATTATGATGGCTTATTAAAGGAGAACTATGAGGTCAGTGTTTTCCCCCATAGTTCTCCTCAGGGTAACGGGAGGACACAAACTAGCGTCCTCCCGTTACCCTAAGCTCAGTATATAGGGAGCTACAGCTCGCGGTATACTGAGACGCCGCAGCTGAAGCAGATCCCGACAATTGTGCCCGGATCCACTTAGCTGCGTGAGTGACAGCTGGCTCCGCCTATCTAGAGGCAGAGCCAGCTGTACCCGCCCCACTCCCCCGTCCGTTCCACCAGTCAGCGCTGGCGGATCGGAGCGGGGAGAATCCAGCCTCTCCCCCGTCACGGCAGAGAGCTGTGACAGGATCGAGAGGTGAGCGAACGACGGTATGTGTTCCCTCACCTCCCGATCTACCTAGCCGACCTGTGACAGTCTCATTGTCACAGGTCGGCTAGAACTATGAGGTGAGTTTAAAGCACCCCCCCCCCCCCCCCTCATAGTTCTTCTTTAAGCCCCTTGGCGTGTATGGCAGCAAGAAAGGCCTTCTCTTCGGCATGTCTCCAGCCAGTGCTGTCACCACGTCCCACGTCTGCTTTCAGGACACAATTGTCATATCGATAATATACAAACTTCATTGGAAACCTCTAATCAACTCTCATACCCGCAAAGATAAAATTCCACGACTCCGGTGAAGGGCAATATTGATAGCTGGATCTGTATCATGTCATAACACATGTCCAGCACAACTCCAACACCTATAAAATGGAGACCATGTGCTCCGGGTGAAGGTCATAATTTGAGTCATTCACACAAAGGATCCGTCTTGAACTTGTACTATGAAAGGTCACTTCTCCAGAACAGAACATGATGGACATAATCCAAGCTCTTTGTTCCTGGGTGGGTGGCTGATGAGAGGGAAAGTGAACTATGTGTTTCCACTACTGGTTAGCTTTATCCTGGAGAACCTCTTGATACGGTAGAACCCTTTTATGAAAACCTCCAAAATGTGTCAAGTTTTCCCAGAAACGAGTGACAGTGGTGGAACTACCAGGGTCGCAGAGGTCGCGGCCGGGCCCTGGAGTTCCGCCACTTGGAGGGGGCCCAGGACAGGAGGAAGGGGCCCCTGGTAACCGCTGATTACCAGGATATTTATTATCCGGGTAACCGCTAATGTCAGTCCCGGGACCTCTTCCTCCTGTCCTGGGCCCTACGTGCTTCACGCTGCTCCCCTCACCTGGTTCCGGGCGCAGCGTGAAGTATCATCCAGCCGGCGCAGCAGCCAATGAGTGGGAGCGGTGTAATCCCCGCCCCCTCATCACACAGAACTGCTGCCCAGTGCCGACTAGAGCTGCCGCGGACACGAAGGGGGAGACAGGGTGCTGGAAGTATGAAGGTGACATGGGGTCCGAGGTTTTTTTCCCCATGTCTAAATTTTGTTTAAAAAAAAATCTAATTTGTTTCTTCTTTGGGGGCCCCGATAGATTTTTGCATCGGGGCCCTGGGGTCACTAGTTACACCACTGGTGACCACCGACACCCCAAACTTACCTCTCCACCTCCTCTCTCTGGGTGGGGTTGGTGATGGCAGCAATGTATTGCATGATGTACTTGCTGGCCTCTGTCTTCCCAGCTCCGCTCTCTCCTGTAGGGGGGGAAGAACACACAATGGGTCAGCTTCTGTCCAGGAAAAGACTGTTCAGCCACCTGGGACTAAGACTGGTGCTGATCAGATATTGGGCAAAATTTATCCATCCTAAACCAGGACTTAAAGTGATATTAAAGCCAATTTTTTAAAATTTCTCCTTTAAGGAGACCCGCCTTTGCTGGAGGCTGTTGCTTTTTTTTCTTTAAAAGTTCTTCCTTCCTCGTTTTCTAGTGTGCCCCCGCCATGCTCTTCCCCCCCCGCCCCCTACACGGGTGCCACCATTGTTCTAACGGAGGCACCCGTGCACGCTCGTGCCCGCAGCGTCTGTGTGCGTCCATAGACACACACAGCCCTCTGGCCGGCCACGCCCCTTCCCTCTTTGATTGATGGCAGAAGGATGGCCTATGTAAAAAATAATAAGAAAAAAATTATTAAAAAATAAGAAAATAATTATTAAAAATAAATAATCAATAATAACATAAAAAAAATTAAAAAAGTAAACGATAAGCTAAAAATGTAAAAAAATAAATAAAAAAGTGATAAAAAAGTTTAAAAAATAAAGAAACAATAAAAAAAATAAAACTAACCCTGCCGCCCTGAGATTGGCGGGGAAGGGGGTGCATTGCGGAACCTGGCCTTGGGGTGGCAGGGAGAGTAAATCTGGCCCTGGTGACTAGGAAGCTTCCTCTTTAAGGCACCTTAAAATGCTAAAGCGGCCTCTAGTGACTTTCATGCTGCATATAAATTCCTTTTCTTATACATTCCGCTTAAAAAGGAATATTTTTTGTGAGTCCTCTAATATAGATTACCAGTAGCAGTCTACCTGAGATAACGATACACGTGTCCTTCGCCCGGCGTTTCATGGCCTTGTATGCTGCGTCGGCGATGGCGTAGAGGTGCGGCGGCCTCTCGTACAGCTCCCTCCCGCGGTAACTTTCAATCATTTCCTTCCCGTACAGATCCATGGCTTTATACGGGTTCACAGACACCACCACTTCCCCGATGTACGTGTAGATCCTCCCGCGCTCAAACCTGTGCAAAGACACAATGAGCAAAGGCGGGGACCGCGGAATATAAACGGGTTACATCATAAAAGTCATAAAACTTCCTCCCAATTCCAAAACTTTACAATCTACCTGTAACAGACTTACCCGTGCGCCGGGATCGGAGCCGCGTCGTCGCGGATGTCACCAGGCCCCTCCTCCTCTGTCTGTTTAAGCCGCGGGATTCCATTCCCACGGCGTTCGAGACTCCGGGAAATACCGTTCCTACTAGACATGCGCACCAGCAAAAAAATTGTTTCTTTTACTTTTGATTCCCGAATTTGCGTTATTTAGTTTTTTTAATTGAATTAATTTCAGGATTCGGAATCGGAAAAATTAGTTAGCGGTAGTCCGGTCGAAATTTCGTTTCGTTTTCGTTTCGTTCGTTCGTTGCAGCAAAATGTCAGGGGGAAAAAACAAAAAGCGTGAGGTTCCCCCCCAAAATCCATGCCGAGCCCTTTAGGTCTAGTAGGAATTTTAAGGAGGAACCCCAGCCCCAAAAAATGGGGGGGGGGGGATGTGAGACCTTAACTCTGACCCTTACTCCTCCATTCCCAGGTCCACATTTTACCTCGCAGACCGACCTCATTATTAGTCTCGGCTGTCCATAGACTTTTACATAGGCGAGCTAACTGATGGCCAGGGCTCTCTGCAGAGGTAGAGCAGGACAAGTCCCTACTGCATAATGGGAGCAGAGCTCTTCTACTCGCTCCTGATTTGATTCAGATCAGATATATATAGAAATAGTTTTGGTTTTTTTTTTAAACAAAAAGTGTAACAATGACCCCCAGAGGAGCTTCTGTATTCTTGGAGGATCTTCTGTACCCTCTAGCTGCTTCCAGACACTCATTGACCCAACAACAGTGACAGACATACTTTAGATCCTCCAATCTCCCATCTTCAGCTATTTTGGCTCGATTGCCTTGGGCCGATAGGGTTAGGGGTACAGGATACTCCAAAAACAGCAACCCTCCGCTCAGCAGACTTCTCACAGAACTCTTTAGGCTCAGAGGGCCTACAATCTTCCAGGATCTCCTGACTTCTGCCTCAGGTCAGTTGTAGGACACTTTTAGCCTCGGCCACAGGCTAGTGAAGATTTTGTAGTCCCAGATAGGAGGGCCACCGTTAGATGTCCATGGCCTCCACCACAGGGCCAGGTCAGAACACCATAAGCCTAGATGGGCAATTAGTAGAATGGACCAGGGTTGCCACCTTTTCTTCAAGGGAAACCCGACGACGTGCAAACATTTTTTTGGGGAGAATGAGCCGTGGCGTGTTCATATGTAAATATCACAGTTGAGACTATTTTCAGTGGGGGGCCAGTAGCCCCTATCTAAATTTTGGGTGCCCTCGTCTGCTTGACATCTTGTGTTCGGGTTTCTGCTGCCATGAAACCCGAACACAGCATTCAAAACCCGAACTGTCCGGGTGAATCCTGGACAGGTGGCAACCGTAGAATGGACACCCGTTCTTAGTCCTGGCTTCCTCCTCAAGGTAAGAGGCTCGGAAGGCAATAGCCGGACTTCTGCAGAGCTACACTCCCCCAGCATGGAGGGAAAGGACGGGACCGGCTACATTCACACCCTCACCAGGTTAGGATAGAAATGACCCAGCTACAAAGTTTCTTCAAATACTTACCCACTTCTCCAGAACACATCACTGGCATACGCCGCTCAGTGATTGGCAGAGGCAGAATAAATATTTATAACATTATATCCTCCCAATCCGTCTACTGAGGAACATTCCCCAGCAGCAGGCAGAAGCAAACAATGTCCTTGGGCTTAAAGGAGAACTATTGGGTCAGTGTTTTTCCCCCATAGTTCTCCTTAGGGTAACGGGAGGACACAAACTAGCGTCCTCCCGTCACCCTAGGCTCAGTATATAGGGGGCTACTGCTCGCGGTATACTGAGACGCGGCAGCCGGAGCGGATCCCGACATAGACGACGGGATCCGCCCAGCTGATCTGGAATAGGGCAGGGTCCCTACTATAGTCCCTGTAATGGGGGGTTTAGTGAAGTTCCATATAAGTGGGGAAGCTCCTATTGCATCATGGGATTGAAGTTTTCATTCCCCCCCCCCAGGTATTATTATTGATACATATATAGCACCACCATGTGCTGTGCTGCAGTACAAGGGGAGTGGGCTGGAAGGATCACCGCTTGGTGGTTTGACTCTAGATCATGGTGCCGGCGGAGGGTTCTCAGGAAGTGATGTCATTCCTCTGAAGCTGCGCTGTGGTTGCTTCACGGTTACTAAAGACGGAACTGTATGCAAAGCAGAATATATACAGCAATGTACTAAACTGACAGCCGAGCGGCTCGTCGTCCTCAGTGGCAAATGGTCCTATCATGGGCCCAGATCCGTCCATCAGTACCCCGTCCATCCCTGGCAATGGGGAAGCTTGGTACTGTCCCTGGTAATGGTGGAGCTCAGTGCTGTCCCTGATAATGGGGAAGCTTGGTACTGTCCCTGGTAATGGTGGAGCTCAGTGCTGTCCCTGATAATGGGGAAGCTTGGTACTGTCCCTGGTAATGGTGGAGCTCAGTGCTGTCCCTGATAATGGGGAAGCTTGGTACTGTCCCTGGTAATGGTGGAGCTCAGTGCTGTCCCTGATAATGGGGAAGCTTGGTACTGTCCCTGGTAATGGTGGAGCTCAGTGCTGTCCCTGATAATGGGGAAGCTTGGTACTGTCCCTGGTAATGGTGGAGCTCAGTGCTGTCCCTGATAATGGGGAAGCTTGGTACTGTCCCTGGTAATGGTGGAGCTCAGTGCTGTCCCTGATAATGGGGAAGCTTGGTACTGTCCCTGGTAATGGTGGAGCTCAGTGCTGTCCCTGATAATGGGGAAGCTTGGTACTGTCCCTGGTAATGGTGGAGCTCAGTGCTGTCCCTGATAATGGGGAAGCTTGGTACTGTCCCTGGTAATGGTGGAGCTCAGTGCTGTCCCTGATAATGGGGAAGCTTGGTACTGTCCCTGGTAATGGTGGAGCTCAGTGCTGTCCCTGATAATGGGGAAGCTTGGTACTGTCCCTGGTAATGGTGGAGCTCAGTGCTGTCCCTGATAATGGGGAAGCTTGGTACTGTCCCTGGTAATGGTGGAGCTCAGTGCTGTCCCTGATAATGGGGAAGCTTGGTACTGTCCCTGGTAATGGTGGAGCTCAGTGCTGTCCCTGATAATGGGGAAGCTTGGTACTGTCCCTGGTAATGGTGGAGCTCAGTGCTGTCCCTGATAATGGGGAAGCTTGGTACTGTCCCTGGTAATGGTGGAGCTCAGTGCTGTCCCTGATAATGGGGAAGCTTGGTACTGTCCCTGGTAATGGTGGAGCTCAGTGCTGTCCCTGATAATGGGGAAGCTTGGTACTGTCCCTGGTAATGGTGGAGCTCAGTGCTGTCCCTGATAATGGGGAAGCTTGGTACTGTCCCTGGTAATGGTGGAGCTCAGTGCTGTCCCTGATAATGGGGAAGCTTGGTACTGTCCCTGGTAATGGTGGAGCTCAGTGCTGTCCCTGATAATGGGGAAGCTTGGTACTGTCCCTGGTAATGGTGGAGCTCAGTGCTGTCCCTGATAATGGGGAAGCTTGGTACTGTCCCTGGTAATGGTGGAGCTCAGTGCTGTCCCTGATAATGGGGAAGCTTGGTACTGTCCCTGGTAATGGTGGAGCTCAGTGCTGTCCCTGATAATGGGGAAGCTTGGTACTGTCCCTGGTAATGGTGGAGCTCAGTGCTGTCCCTGATAATGGGGAAGCTTGGTACTGTCCCTGGTAATGGTGGAGCTCAGTGCTGTCCCTGATAATGGGGAAGCTTGGTACTGTCCCTGGTAATGGTGGAGCTCAGTGCTGTCCCTGATAATGGGGAAGCTTGGTACTGTCCCTGGTAATGGTGGAGCTCAGTGCTGTCCCTGATAATGGGGAAGCTTGGTACTGTCCCTGGTAATGGTGGAGCTCAGTGCTGTCCCTGATAATGGGGAAGCTTGGTACTGTCCCTGGTAATGGTGGAGCTAGGTGGTGTTCCTGGTAATGGTGGAGCTCGATGGTAATGGTGGAGCTTGGTGGCGTCACTGGAAAGCCAGGGAAAGTTTTCCTGAGTCACCAGGGATTAGCTCATCCTGCGGTGTCACCAGTGACCGGCCATTCAGGAAATGTCTCACTCTTATCTACAGACCTCTGTACAGGATTGATGACTACATCTCCCGCTGACAGCTGGTGGACCGCCTGCTTCCTGCAGATGTTCTACCAGTCCGGCCCGCTCCACCCTTCTATGTAATATGAGGAATATCTGTGAACACAATCCATCCACATGTCCAATCTACACTGCTCCACCCTTCTGTATAGTGTCTGTAATATCTGCATGCACAGTCCTCCCTGCTCCATGTGCACACAGCACTCCTACATTGAACATCCCCCATTGGAGTTTGCTTTTTAATTACTTGATGTGGCCATTCTGAATGTAAGTAGCAGCAGAGAGCCACCCAGAACTACACTATATTGCAACGGTATTGGGACTCCGGCCTTTACACGCACATGAACTCTAATGGCATCCCAGTCTTAGTATCCCCCAAGGTGCCTTCACCACTAGAATCCGGGACTTACTCATATAGCTTCACCTTTATTTGAGGAGGAATGTAGAACACACTAAGCGTAATAGTCCGCAGTAACCAATCACCAAACATGTTTCAGTTATGTGACCCGGGAAGCTGGCACTGGATCAGTGCTCGGGGTTATTATTATTATTACATAGTATTTATAGAGCGCCAACAGTGTGCGCAGCGCTACACAATGTAAGGGAGACATTACAATCACAATACAATTCAAGACAAGATGGTGAGGAGGGCCCTCTTGCACCTCCTCACCCCCATTGCATTGCTAAGGCCAACGTCTCCACCATACAAACAACTCTCTACTGAGGAAATTGTATGTTCACAATAAACATACGTGACGACGATGTCAGATAAAATACAGGGAATGCCGAATTTGTGATGACAAGAATGTGGAAAAGGATACCCAAAAAAAATCTACAAAAACCACACAAGATATCTGGGGACTTCTGTGACGACACGGTGATGAGTTTATAAGTTAAATGTGTATTGGTGTTGAGTTATGTTTGAGTGCGTTATGCTGAGTGACCTGGTTATGGAAAGACTATCAGAACCATCCCCCGTTATCTCCCATTGTTCTCTGAGGGAGCTCAGAACAATGACATTCTGGCCAGGCTCCTGCTATGGCTGTCTGGAGCTATTTAGCAGGTGGACACCTGTGGTGTTGTGAAGACAGGATTTCTGGGGAGGGGGAGGGGGGATGTGATGGGATTAGCAATGCTGATGGACTATCTTGCCAAACAGAACTGGAAGGGTGACTAACAGCATGGACATCCCCAAGTGGACCCGTAGAGGGTCTCACCGGGTCTGCCATCCTTTAACTTGGGGGAGCTATGTGACGACATGGTTATGAGTTTATAAGTTAAATGTGTATTGGTGTTGAGTTATGTTTGAGTGCGTTATGCTGTGTGACCTGGTTATGGAAAGACTATCAGCACCATCCCTCGTTATCTCCCATTGTACTCTGAGGGAGCTCAGAACAATGACATTCTGGCCAGGCTTCTGCTATGGCTGTCTGGAGCTATTTAGCAGGTGGACACCTGTGGTGTTGAGCAGACCGATTGTCTGGGAGGGGAGGGGGGATGTGATGGGATTATATTCTGATCTCATCACTTGCTGTATAAAAGTTTGTGCAGTTGCTCAATAAAGCAGAGTTTGTTTCACCTACACTCAAGCCTTGGCTAGTGACTGGGGAAACTGGGAGCTAAGGATCTTCAGGTTGCAAGATCTCCTCAGCAAGGAAGAAGACAGCGGCGGACATACTCCTCCTGAGTACGGGGGTCCGTCACAGCTTCCAGGTTCCTTTATCAGCTCCCCTCCCGTAACAGCCCCCACATCCTTAGGGGATAGGATGTGGCCTTTGTATGAAGTTCCAGAGTGATACAAAGTATAAATCCCTTCTCCTGTGTAGACCGGGGGGCCGTCCTCCTCCCTGGAATATGGAGATCTCTGCAACCCCTTGTGACCCCCCCAGGAGACATTTGGTGGGACTTATAAGGGGAGACTTTTGTGTCCAACACTGAGACTGAAGGACAATTGAGGTGATCCTCTGAAGAAGTGTGTGTAGATCCAGGAAATGTGTCGGGAACCCGGATCTATATATGAAGATACAATGGACATTTACATGTCAGACTCCGCATGGAAATGAACAATTGATAGGTTTCCATATATCATGTCCTCCTTCTTATCTACCGCTTATGAGGTTGTTGTTTTTTTCAATCATGTGATTGTTTGGGACAATA